GTTTCTTTCCCAGTCGGAGGGCTTTCCATTCTCCGGTGATCTCATCAAACCTCTCCCTTATCTTCTTGAGTTTACTTGCTAAATCCTCTGGAAATGAAATCCTTGAAGGAGCGGAGATAGAGTAGTCGCATACCTCCACATGCTTGCCTTTGTGGCGGCCGCCACCTCTCGGTCTGCTTTCTGCTTCGGCGCGCAGCACTTGGTATTCGTACTCCTCCACCGCGTCTTGAGCGTCATAAGCGACATCCTTGAGCTCACTCAACCATAGCCTTACAGGCTCATCTCTTATATCCTGCTCCTCCGAGTCATCAAGTTTGGCTTGGATCCTCAACATCGTCCTCTGCAGCTTCCTTAGCTCTTCTTCGACATCGTTCCGGGGCTCAGCCGGAGACGAAGCTGGCGTTGTTGCCAAGGCAAGCAGCTTCTCCACCGTCCACTTGATGATGGAAGAAACGATACCTCCGCCCATTCTTCTTCTTTGTACCCTTCTCCCTTCAGTATGCTCAGTTGGTATATACCATCTACGCAACCAGAAACTTGGGGCCAGCCGCGTTGCGCCTTCCGCACGCCCACTTCTTATCTGGTCAGTGTGTAGCTCCACACGATCCGCTTGTTCAAATATCACAGTACGAATAAAACAATAGGGATCAATTTGTGATCCAACTCAAGTCAGCGAAATTACATTATTGCCTTAATTGTTTCTCAGTGGTCGGCCAAAATTTCTCTCGGTGCGAGACTTCTGAAGCTTAACGTTGGGGAACATCTATCACCGATCGAGCGTTCGATCGACACGTTCTCTCTCTTGAAGAAAACGACATCTAGCCAACAATCTGCTTCCCAGCAATCGGTCTGCAAGGTGTTTAATGCAATTCGCCATCATCAGTCTTGTCATGAATCGAGTTTTTCCAACTTAAAGCAACGCGGCTGCTATTTAGTGGTGTGTGCTCCTTCAACTCTAGAAATATCCTCAGTTCAAACAGGGCGGTTGCTTGCATTGTGGGGTGGACATGGAAATATATAGACAGACACAACTTTTGCGTTGGTCATCGAAAATGATCCGTCCATCATATGGTGTCGACAAGAAAAATACAGGTCCCATAAAATTGATCCATAACCTTGTTTTGACGTATATTTTACGTCACGATCTCCCTCTCTCTTTTTCTACTTGAATCTTTCTGTTTCCTTGCTAATTGAGTTATGTGCTTAGTTCCTTGTGAAATGCACTATTGATCTCTAGAAGTAGTACCACCGCAACCGTTACTCTTTCACTGACATTTTGGGTGGCAACGTTAGTGACGGCGTGTGTGCTTTATCATGTCTGAGGGACAATGCAAGTCACATACAAGTGATCTCTCGCGGGTTTTAATGCATGCGTGCACCTATAGGTGACGATTCCATGGTTTTTTTTATACTTAATTTTGGGTAATTTCCTGTAAAGTTCTTTTTTTTTTCTGAACGATACACTATTTTTATATTTTCAAATTATATTTTTATTTTTTATAATTTTGTAAATCCTCCCTCACTATCATCGATCACTTGTCGCTTCTGCCTCCTGCCTATCACCTGCTCACTTGCTCTCAGCCTCAGCGTGCTCAGCCATACATGCCACGGGAGAGGAGGAGTTGCCCAACGATAGCCTCGCTAGGGAAGTTGGTGGTAGGTTTGTGGGTGAGAGTGAGGAAAACATGGAAGTGGCAAGCGAGAGCGTAAGGGTCGAGTGAGAAATCACGATGCAAGGCATCGGCTAGCGGAGTGTCACAACACAGCGAAAGGACCTTCGTTCGCGTCGACAAAAAGTGGGGCAAAGCAAACCTCGTGGGTCATTGATATAGTCTCGGGATAGAGGCCTTTTATAACGGAGGTGATGACAACGGTCAAAGTGACGAAACAGAGATGGAGGAGAAGTCTTATCATTGTCAAAATCGATAGTCGCGTTATGTGAGGAGGGTTCGACGATTGACATGAAGAAAGGTGATATGGCAAAAGAAACAACCAAAGGTTTTTATGGGATAAAAAAATATTGGACATGATTTGAGAAAAATAAAACAAATGCTCAAAATATTTGACTGGGTATTAAAATGAGGAGCGAGATTATAAAATGAGCGAATTATCAACAAAAAAAAATCTCTTTTTAGGTTTTTTAAGAAAAATACTCATATTCATAAGTAGCAAACAAAGTCTTTTTGTTTTTCTAATAACTATAATATCCACATCTATACTTACCTCTTTTCTTTCTTTTCCTATAATTAGGACAGTTACAATATTTTTACTATCTTATGAAAATTTAATAATATAACGTAATACACAAACATAATGTTACAATTGTTTCTGTACTATAAAAAATACATAATTTTTCATGTTATTTTTACACTATAAAAAAACACTATTTTGTATAGGGCAACATTATGATGTTGGCCTAATTTTCTTTTCTTATATGGTTTTATTTTTAAGGCTACAACCTATCTGTCATTATAAATCAAATGTTCTCCTCGAGTTTCACGCTAAGGAAAACAAATCACTTAACATAAAATATCTTATGTTATACGATCTAATGCCGTCTTTCATTTTGGTGACATGTCAGGACCGATGACCATTTAAGACAGAGATAAGGAAGAGGTCCAATGTTTTCGTTTCTTGAACCCGAGAATGGTCCGAGTAGTTGTGGTAACTTTAATTCTTCCTTTCTTGTAAGAAACATATTGTTTAAGGACTTCGACTGTTGCATTCATTGGGTTTTCGTACTTCACAAACATCATTTTGATCTCCCCTTTAGCTAGACGTTGAAAAATGATGGGGAAGATTACAGAATTCAATGATGTGTAGAGAAGAAATATAGAGAAAAGCGAGATGAAATTGAACTATAAGATATGGTCTAAATATTAATTCTCAATTTACAAAAAGATAATGAAGTGTTCAAATTATAATTTATTATTTCCAAAAGCAAAGTTCTTAAGAGTATGATTGCAGATGGCTGATTGGCCTTTTTCTTATCGGTCTATCAGATTTCTTCTCAACATCAACTAATTCAGCCACAAAATTTCTGTCTCTCGTTTGATTCTTGAATTAGTTGCTTTTGGAATGGTGATGAACGATTTATACTGACCTATAATTCCAAGGATACGGTGGCAATCATTCATCCCTAGGAAACAGTGACCTCGAACCGTGTGTTGCTGCTGAATTCAATCAAACATTCGACATGCAACAATTCTCCGATGACAAGACTTTGGGACGGTTGAGACGACAGAAAGGACGAATGATGCGCTGTTGATGGATACTTTTTCTTCATATGATCTCTAACATCGTGTCTATTTTTCCTCTGTAACTTATGACTTTTATGCTTAGGCTTTGTTATTTCTTTTTCCAAGTTCATATGCATGAGTGCGTCGCTATAGCCTTTTCCTTTTACTTCAACACATTTTTAATTAGGGATGATAATTCTATATTGATATAAATTTTAAAATTTAGTGGATTAGGAGAAATTATTATTCAATTATCTCCGCTCCAAATATAGTTTTGTGTCATTAAATCACTCTTTCAAATCTATTATAGGATCCATATAACCCTTCTATGTAATGTCATATTCATGTGAGAAATTATGGGACAATAGATCGACTAAAGAGGTGCCATAGGATAGTGGAGAAGCTTCTATTCAGGTCGATGAAGAGTAGGGTCAAACGAATCTTATGGGTCATTAAGACGACAATGGGCCGAGATCAATTAAAAATGAGGGTCTAATTGACGACAATGGGAAGGAACTTAGTGATGATCGTATGATAGAGGCCTTCCATGATAGAAGTGGTAGTGGTGCTCAAGGGGGCAAAGTGACAGGTGGGTTCATGCGATTGACGCCAAACACATTGGGCCATGTGGGGGAGGATAGAGGGGATGTCTTATCGTTGTCGCTTCCTTTCCCTTTGCCAAGGTCGTTGATAATGATAAGTGGGGAGGGTTCGATGACTGACGTGATGAACGATGGCGGGATAGAAGCGACAAATAATGACAAGAAATATTTATGAGATTAAAAATAAATAAATACTATGAAAAAAAAAATCTGAGAGGAAATTTGACACTCCACTGGGATTGTCATAGCTTCTTAGTATAACACATCCTCCTCCTCTAAAACTCTGCATCCAACAAAAATACAATAAACACTTTTATTACGTGCAAGAGAGCCAACACCTCCCCTATGATCCCCTCCCCTTTGAATCGTTAGGATTCAATTGAACTCCTATGAGAGGAGGAGACAATGGAAGTTACCGAGGATCGTTCTCATCAAGTTTGGTAATGTCAGATTGACCACAACAAAGTAAAAAGAAATATTAAAACCAATAATTTAGAATTGTTATATAAAATCTCATTATGTGCCCTTAAATCCATCGTAATCCCTTGGAAGAAAACCAATATATCATGAATAATTTAGAATCGTTATAGTAAGGATATCTATAAAACCCAATATATAACAAATCAATATGATGAATAAAATTTCTGAAACAAGACACAAAAGTAGAAAAATACAAATCATGCGCTGTAGTCCATGAAAGACAGCTAACCCTCCTCATCTATATATCAATTACTAATCACATGCAAAAACTGTTAAAATTGCTTTCATAGCTTTGATGGTCACAACCACAATGGCCATAACCACAGGCATAGGTTTCATCTATATATCAATTACTAATCACATGCATATAGGAAATATGGATTTGTGCCCACAATGGCCATAACCACAGGCATAGGTTTCTTCTATCGCTTAAAGAAAGCGGACTCGATAGCATCAAATTTGCAAATAGATGTCCATGGCATTATGAGTAGCCTACTGGATATGTTTATTAAGATAAGAAAAAAAAATCACAATTCATCTTTAGACTCGATCGGTGTAAAAGCACTTGGTTGGTATCAAATGATTTGAGTGGGAAATAGAGAATACAAAATCAAACACTTGATTCTGTAATGTAAATCCAGTACTTGGAATCATCGATACTCGAAACCCCAGCATCGATGGATGATTTGGTCCGCACATTTTGGAGTTGAAGCAAGCATCAGCTTTCCTGTCTCGTCGTCATGGTTTCAGAATTAGACACTTGATATGAAAGATCGGAGGCTGAGTGATACCGAGTTGAATGGTGTTGTTGGGGGATGGGTTGAAGCAGATAAACTCGTTTGCCACTGACAGACAATTATAGTTCTGCCGAAAGCTGGAATTGGCTTCTACAGTTTGAAGTTGAGGAATGAGCTGCAATGACCACCACAAGAACAATGTAGTTAACCAAACCAAAGAGAAGGACACGAGTATAACTAGTCACAAAAAAACCTGCAACATTTCTTTATACTACTAACATTTGAGAAATATGCCCAAACGCCAGCCAGCCAGAAACTATAGTTTCATAAGCATTGTAATGATGTACCCAAAAAAAGAGAGTCTATGCCGTTGGCTAATTAGTGATTAATTCTAATTTGTGTCATTAGCATCAGCGCAATTATAAACAACGTCACAAGGAAAATGACTAGCAGTAAGAGAAAAACGTCCAACAAAATAGCATTCCTATATGGCAATTGATTGGTAAGAAAGATTAGAGAAAAATGACCAGTACCCGCAGGTTTCATCCCTTGGTACGAACTGCTTTTGGCATATCTTGTCAACCCCAGAGCTAGAACCAGCTTGCGCTTGTAAATTGGAAAGAGAGAGTTCCAGAGACAAAGAGCACAGTGATGCAGGAGGCTCTGGTTCATCTGGAGCTTGAGGCAGGGGCTCAATCGTGCGATTGTTGTCAGGTGACCTGGGTTGATCATTTTCGATTTGGTCACCCAAGAATGAAGACTGTGATGGGTGCGGAAAGAGCTGCAATTCCTTCATTGGATCATCTTGTGTTTGTCTCTCGTACCACTGCTTAATCCAAGGAGTGTCCAAAATCCTCGGAGGTTGGAGAGTGGATGGTAACCTCTCTGTCGGAGGGAATCGTAGATCTGGACAGTAATATATGATCAAAGAGTGCAGGGAGGTGAGGTTGGTAAGTCCCGCAAGAGACGTTAACTTTGGGCACAGTGATATCTCCAACTCCTTGAGCGAAGGTAGATCCATATCAATACTAAAGCCGCGAAAGCCACGAAATGATAAATACTGAGGCCCTGAGGGTGGGGGGGAGGAAGAAACATACATGAAGGGATCTGGCTGCAAGGAAGCATCGATATGACTTAATTTCAGTTTCGTCATCGAAGAAATTGGGTGCTGAGGAAAAAACCTCAATTTAGGACAATTATCGATTTCAAGTTGGCGAAGACGAGGGAAGTCACCGGCCACCACTCCATCCCACTCTTTCCAATTTTTCATATCAGAGAATGTCAATGTCTCCAAAGACGGGAACCCCTTTGTCAAACTACCAATACCACAAAACTCACGCCCAATACGTTGGAGATCAGAGAAATGTTTTATAGCAAGAACTCTAAGAGAAGGCAGCTGACCCAAGGGTGGAAGCAGATTGCATTTCAGGCATACGACTATCTCTATATTCACTAGTTTGGAGAAGGATGAATCCCCCAACCATGTTGCAAATCTGACACCACCGTAATCGCATATTATAAGCTGTTTTAGGTTAGGATGTGGGCGAAAGCATTCCAGAACCTGCTTTGCCGTGTCGTCGTCCATGTCTCGGGTTGCATTAGTGCTATCAGACCAATTCAGTCCCAAAGACTCGATACGATCTTTTGTCTTCAGAGGTGTATCTGTTTGAGAAACATACTCATTCACATACCTGAGATTGTGAACGGTGAGTTTTCCTCTCAGATTCACTAAACCCTTCAAGTCCTCTACCTCGTAACGCCATCTAGTCGGGCTCAATGTGATGCAGTCTAGTGTTTGCAAGTTCGTCAACTTTCCAAGGCCACGAGGGATAGCGACGCCACTTTCATTTAGCATGAGATGCCTTATATTTGGCAAGTTTACTATGCCGCTTGGTAGTTCCTTGAGATCAAATGTAGCAGTCACATTCAGAATCTGCAAATTGTAGTGGCTGCATATGGATTCTGGAAGACTGTCGATGTTAGCACCTTCGATGGAGAGGTAGCGTAGTAGTTTGAGGTCGCCGATTGAATCAGGCAGCTCTTCGATGTTGGTGTAGTTTAACTCCAAAGCTCGTAGGTATTTGAAGTTCCGTAACGATTCATTTAAGAATTTAGTAGCATTGTGTCGCTCCCTATGTGGTGCGTGAATTATCAATGTCCGGAGACGTTTTAGCTCCGGCAAAACCTCGGCGTCTCTGGATGTCATCTTGTCGTCAAAAACCAGATATAAGTGTCGAACCTTCCGAAATTTGTCGCCATCCCCCTGAAAAATGCTTGCGAGTTTGTTAGCTGCTATGCTTAGGCATTCCCCCTGCGCAACAGACTGTGCTAGATCGTGAACAAGATCATGCATTACTAACTCTTTCTCTTCCTCGGGGTCCAAGGCATGTCCTATGCTTATCCTCTTAATCTGCAAAATTGACCTTTCCACCAAGTTGCTGACGTAATCACTGCCTATATCCTCTGCTCGCTTGCTTCTTGGAGGCCGAAGAAGACCTTGCGACATCCATAAATGGACAATGTATCTCTCGGATAAAACCGTGTCTTTGGGAAACAAGGATAGGTACTGGAAGCACCTTTTTAGTTCTACTGGCAAGCAATCATAGCTTACTTTAAGAGCCGGAAAGATCTCAAAGTTTGCATCGACTGATTCCCACAGCTCACTTTCCAAGATATCCATCCATTTGTCTCGATCATCTTCGTAACTCAGAGCACGTGCAATTACCTTCACTGCCAACGGCAAGCCTCTGCACTTCTCCACAATCTGCCGACCGATGTCCACCAAATCGTTATGCCTGCTGCTGGAATCTAAGCCTTCCAGTAAGGCAAGCTTCTCGAACAACATCCAACATTTGTCGAATGGTAAGATGTTCAAATTCAAAGGCTCCATCGTCTGCATGATTCTGGCAACACATTCATTCCGAGTAGTCACTATGACTTTACCAACTCCAGCCTTGAGTAAGGGGACTTTCACCAACTCCCAAAGACTAGGTTTCTCGTTCCAAACATCATCCAAAACAAGCAAAAACTTCTTTCCCTGCAATTTTTTTTGAAGTTCTTGTTGAAGCTCATTTAATTCTGTGTAATAAACTGTGGTTTTGGAAAAGGACACCAAGATCTTTCGTGTTAAACCTACGACATCAAAATCCTCAGAAACACAGACCCATCCCCATGTATCGAAGTAGTTGGATACCCTGGGATCATTATATACGAGCTGAGCTAGTGTCGTTTTACCGACTCCACCCATGCCAATTATGGGAATTAATGACATTGTACCTCCTCTGCCACCAATATCATCAATCTCCGAAAGCAGCAACCCGATTAACTTTTCCTTTTCGTCGTCTCTTCCGAAAACAATTGATTCATCGAAGCAAGAACTCGTCTGTCTACAGTTACCCGACTCATCTCTTCGTCTCTTTCCATGTTTCTTTCCCAATCGGAGGGCTTTCCATTCTGTGGTGATCTCATCAAACCTCTCCCTTATCTTCTTGACTTTACTTGCTAAATCATCTGGAAATGAAATCCTTGAAGGAGCAGAGATGGAGTAGTCGCATACCTCCACATGCTTGCCTTTGTGGCTGCCGCCACCTCTCGATCTGCTTTCTGCTTCGGCGCGCAGCACTTGGTATTCGGACTCCTCCACCACGTCTTGAGCGTCATAAGCGACATCCTTGAGCTCGCTCAACCATAGCCTTACAGACTCATCTCTTACATCCTCCTCCTCCGAGTCATCAAGTTTGGCTTGGATCCTCAACATCGTCCTCTGCAGCTTCCTTAGCTCTTCTTCGACATCGTTCCGGGGCTCAGCCGGTGACGAAGCTGGCGTTGTTGCGAAGATAGTCAGCTTCTCCACCGTCCACTTGATCATGGAAGAAAGGATACCTCCGCCCATTCTTCTTCTTTGTACCCTTCTCCCTTCAGTATGTTTAGTCGGTATATACCATCAAGGCAACCCAGAAACATCTTATCATTAATGCAAGAGAAAACTTCTTATCTGGTCAGTGTGTAGCTCCACACGATCCGCTTGTTCAAATATCACAGTACGAATAAAACAATAGGGATCAATTTGTGATCCAACTCAAGTCAGCGAAATTAACCATTGACCTTCGCTATCAGGGTTAATTGTTATCGCGTACCGCATCCAAGACAATATGAATCGACTCTATACAAGGAAATTTTACGTTCTATTACTATCTGTCTCTTCCTCTTACATGTTCTAACATTATTTGGTATTTTTAGATGTTCCTAAAAATATTATGTTTGATTCAAGATTAAAAATAATAATAATAATAATAATAATAATAATAATATTTTAGGGTATATGATTATAAATATTATATCATTATTTACTCTTCCTCGCAATAATAAAAGAAAGCGTATGTAATAATTGGAATCGTTGGTGACACAGATTACATGATTGCATTAACTGTTTCTCAATGGTCGATCAAAATTTCTCTCGGTGCGAAACTTCTAAAGCTTAACGTTGGGGTACATCTATCGCAGATCGAGCGTTTGATCGACACGTTCTCTCTCTATCGAAGAAAACTACATCTGGCTAACAAGCTGCTTCCCCAGCAATCGGTCTGCAAGGTGTTTGATGCAATTCGCCTTCATCAGTCTTGTCATGTAGCGAGTTTTTCCAACTTAAAGCAACGCGGCTGCTATTTAGTGGTGTGGGCTCTTTCGACTCTAGAAAAATCCTCTGTTCAAACAAGGCGGCTGCTTGTCTGGTGGGGTGGACATAGAAATATATAGACAGACACAACTTTTGCGTTGGTCATCGAAAATGATCCATCCATCATATGGTGTCGACAAGAAAAATACAGGTCCCATAAAATCGATTCATAAGCTTGTTTTGACGTATATTTGATGTGACGGTCTCCCCCTCTATTTTTCTAGTTGAATCTTTCTCTCTCCTTGCTAATTGAGTTATGTGCTTAGTTCCTTGTGAAATGCACTATTGATCTCTAGAAGTAGTACCACCGCAACCAGTACTCTTTCACTGGCATTTTGGGTGGCAACGTTAGTGACGGCGTGTGTGCTTTATCATGTCTGGGGAACAATGCAAAACACATACATGTGGTCTCTCACGTGTTCTAATGCATGCATGCACCTCTACGTGACGATTCCATCATTTTTTTCTCTTATTAACTTCGTAAAATTTCCTGAAAAGTTACTTATTTTTTGAAAGATACACTATTTTTTATACTTTTTAAATATTATTATTATTATTTATAATTTTATAAATATCCCTCTTTATCACCCATCACTTATCGCTTCTGACCTTGTATGTCACCTGATCACTAGTTATCATGCTTAGTCATATATTCCGTAGGAGAAGAGTTGCACAACGCTAGTCTTATTTAGGACGATGAAGAGTGAGGCCATGCAAACCTTGTGGGTCGTTGATGTAGTGGCAAGGGTTGGATCCATATGGTGTGAAGGTACTTAGCAATAATCGAGAGGCAAAAGTCTTTCATGGCGAAGGTGATGACAACACTTAAGATGATGAAGTAATGGATAAAAGAAAAGCCCTATCGTGGTCATCTCTTTCCCCTTTGCCAAAATCGATAGTTACGATATGTGGAAAGGGTTTAATGATTGACGTGATGAAAAATGACAAGATAAAGGTGAAGGAACAAACGAGACAAATGAGGTATTTAGTACCATTTAAGAAAAATAGAAACAAAGACACCCTCCAAACAAAACCCAAAGAGAAGCTTTATCATAAAATCATCCTAAAACTTTTAATAGGATTCACTCAATAAATATTATTTTTCTTAATCAAAATGAATGAGTTTAAGTAGATAAAATAAAATAAAATAAAATTAAAAAGAATCATTTCAAGCCATTTGAAAATTAAATTACAGAAATCGTTGATCATATTGATCAAGGAACATGAATGAAGCATTCCATTTATTAAGCACTTTTTCGTCTCACACTAGCTGATTTCTTTATAAAAATGAAAGTAAAAGAGTTGTGTCATCTCTCTTTCTTCTTCTCGCCACAATAGCCTGCTAACTTTTCCTTGAAATGGTCCATTTCTCCATTCGTGCACTTGCCTTCAGCGCCTGACAACAAACAATATACGTATAAACATTATATACATGATATAAAAAGAGAAATACTCTAATCCAATAGATACGTAGGATGATACCTCCTTATCCCAATCACATCTCATAGTGAGATAGATCAACACCAACGTTTGTACTGCAGTTCCACCTATCATTCCAGCCCAAATGCCCTGTAACGTGCATTCCATTTGATTAATAATGAACAAACCATGTTTTGCATGATTCCCACAAATTAACATAAGTTAATCTTCTTTGATTACTTCAAGATCCCAATATGGTAGATTGTAATGTGGAATCAGTGAGAAGCAAGAACAAAACAAGTGTATGGTTATGCTTTTCTTTTTCAAGGAGAATCTATTATATTAATGACAAAAACCAGTGTGTCTGTTATTGTTGATCTAAAATGATCTTTTGCTTTCTATACCTTCAATCATAAGTGTATGAACATGATTTCAAAGTGACATCAATCGATACATCAGTATAACAGTTCTAAAAGATATAGATGTCACATACTCGAACGCCAAGGTGGAATACAGATCCCATGATAACCCCGACGGGGATCCCGATGAGGTAGTACGATCCGACATTCACATAAGCCACCGTTGCTTGCCACCCTGCGCCCACAGCGACACCTGTAGACCATATCCCACAAGGTAGTGAAATGACATGTTCATTCTTGACAGCAGGAGCACATGATCCTTCAAGATATATTGCAGGAAGAGCAGTAGTTACCAGAAAGGATAGGTTGGATGCTGTTGAGTAGAATCGCTGTGGCCAGGAGAAGAGAGAGCTTGTCCACAGCGTTGAGCACGACCGTGCTCGAGGAGAAGATGAGAGCAAGCTTGTCATGGAAAGCCACGATGAGGCAGCAGGTGAAGAGGCCAATCACGGTGGAGGTGACTGCTGAAACACCTGTGGCAAATTTGGCTCCCCTGCTGTTACCTGCGCCGAGCTCAATAGCCACTCGCACCCTTTGGATCAAAGCAAACAAATACCACGTCACATAAAAAGGCATTTCAAGAATGATCAGCTTTATGGAGAATGAAGACTCATTTGGTTGAGCAATTTAGCAATCTAGTTCTTGGAGGTCACCAGCATACCCAGTGCCAGCGAAGAATGCCAGAGGAATCATCAGCTCCCAATTGTTGATGTTCATGCTGTTCCAGAAAGAAGAGTACAAGTCAGAGCTAAAGCTAGAAGTCAACATCATACTCTGTTCCTCCCGATGATGAAAGCAGAGAAGTAGCTCATACCAAATAGAGATAGCATCCACTGCGATTTCAGCATTCTTCAGGCTCCCAGTGAGCAAGATAAGTACTCTGTAATACCAGTTCTCCAAGCTGTACACGCAACCCCATGTAACCAAGTCAATGAGATAATTGGATCACAAGATATTCAAGTCTTAATTTTGTTTTTATGTTGTCTTCTTTTCTCGTCGTCATTTGCTCTCTGTCACCCTCTCTCACCACTATCCTCTCTTTCTTTCCCTTCTTTGATTCTTCTATTACCGTCTTCATCTTGTTCTCTGTTATCATCATCTTCTCTCATGATTCGTGTGTCTCACAATCTCTCTCTCTCATTGTTATGCTCTTTCATGTTTGCCCTACTATAAAAATAGCATAATTAGATCATTTTTCTGTTTTATTTACATTGATGTGGTACGATGATTCGTGACTTGATATCGATGGCATTGGATTTGCCATTACGGAGTCAATAGAGATCTTTATCCAATGGCAGAGATCGAGGTTCTTAGCAAGATAGAGGTTTACTTGCTGACCAAATCAGCGGAAAATTGCTTGTCAACATTCTTAATGGATCCCGTGAATAATATACAGATCGATCTAGTCTATTTGGAACTGGTCGTTCAAGCTTGTTCTTGGGACAAATGATGACTACTTGTTGTCGAAGAGAAGAAAACAAGGAAAGAGTAAGAGAGAGAGACAGACGTACCAGAGCATGACACCAGAGGCAGCCGATAACTTGACGAACTCCCACAATTCCAAGAAGGCGTCCATGGAGAAGCCCTTCCAAGTCTCCGGACACCTCCCGCAGGCCACGTAGGCGAACTGGCCCAGCACCTGGAGCCACCATGAGAAGCATAACGTGAGCGCGGCACCCCGAAGGCCTTGATCCAACTTGTACACCACCAGCCAGCTGAGGAAGATGTGAACGGCGAGCACCAATCCGGATGTGACGGCCGAGACCGAGTTCTTGAGCTGACTCTGAAAGAACCGGTTGAGGGGGAAGAGGAAGGCGAAGGAAAGGTGCATGGGGATGATCCAGATGCACACGCGGCCCGCCTCTCGAGCTAGCTCGGCCGGCTCCCCCATCAGCTCCAGCAACGGGGTGGCCATGATGTATACTGGGAGGAGGAGCACGGCGCATCCGAAGAGGACGATCCACGAGCGCTGCAGGTAGACTCCCAACATGTGGTGCTTCTTCGCGCCGTAGGCTTGGCCGCAGAGTGTCTCCAGGGCGCTCGCCATTCCAAGCTGAACGATAAGGATTACACGCAGTAAAACCCTATACAAATCTCTGGCTTGGATTCTCCATATCGACGAGAATGAGAATGATCATGATCAAGGAAGAATAAAGACATGCCATGAGGCCAAAGCTGAAGCCGGAGAAGGTAGCGGCGACGGACATGGCGGCGAGCTCAAGATCGCCGAGGTGACCGGCGAAGGCCTGCGTGGCCAAGTTCATGGAGTAGGACGTAATCCTGAGAAATATAGCAGGGCCAACGATCCTCCACAGCTTCTTGCTTTCGCTCCATACTCTCCTTAGCAGTCCGGGCTCCGAAGCCTCACCGACTTCTCTATTCCTCAGAAGTGGAACCTCCTCCTCCTCCTTCTCTGTTGTCATAGCTCTTTCTCCTTCTCAAAGACTTTCCAAAGCTCAGAGAAGACGAAAGTGTTTGAGTGGGTCATAAAATGAGGAGTGAGATTATTAAATGAGCGAATTCTCCAAAACGAAAAAAAAAAAACTCTTTTTAGGTTTTTTAAGAAAAAACTCTCATATTCATAATTAGCTAAAAACATATTTTTGTTTTTCTAATAACTGTATTGACCGATTTATAGAGTTGAATTAGTTCAGTTATTAATATTTTTACTATGTTATGAAATTTTAATAATATAACGTAATACAAAAACATAATGTTACAATTGTTTTCTGTACTATAAAAAAATACATAATTTTTTATATTATTTTTACACTATAAAAAAAACAAACACTATGTTTGTATAGGACAAAATTGTGATGTATGCCTAATTTTCTTTTCTTATATGACTTTATTTTTTTAAGGCTACAACCTATCTGTCATTATTAATCAAATGTCCTCCTCGAGTTTCACGCTACTAAGGAAAACAAATCACTTAATATAAAATATCATATGGTGATTGAAGGACCGATGACAATTTTACTGTACAGTAAATTGCAAGCAAAAGAGACATCAATCCCCTTCAAAAAAAAAAAAAGTCGATTATTCCAAAAATAAGACCTTATCTTACATGCTTAAGTAGGTTATAATGATATAATTCGTTTAGTTTGGTTAAATTTAACATGTAATCGAGTGACTAAGGACCATTTACAGTCCCACAAATTGCAAATTAAAAAGCCATTGATTCCCTTAACCACACAAACAAATTAATTATGAAATATCTTACGTTTTAACTACTTTCTATACATTATTAATAGAAGGTGTTAGCTAACTTAGCTAATAAAGATTGCGACGGCTTATCGTATTTTATTTTTTATCATTTGTTCTTTATAAAAAATTATTTTTTTATAATCAATGAGTCTAGTCGAAACTAATACATATGATGTTGACTACCCACACAACCTGAAATTTTAATTGATTTAACTTAAGTTGATCAATCAATTTTTTTAATATTCATCTCTCTTTCTTGCTTTAAGAAAGAGAGGAGGAAAAGGTCCAATGTTTTCGTTTCTTGAATCCAACTGTTTCATTGGTTTTTGGTACTTCACAAACACCATTTTGATCTTCCCTTTAGCTACATGATGAAAAATGACGGGGAAGATTATAGAATTCAATGATGGGTAGATAAGAAATATAGAGAAAGGTATTGAACTATAAGATATGGTCTAAATATTATTAATTCCCAATACAATGAAGTGTTCGAATTTTAATTTATTATTTCCAAAAGCAAAGTTCTTAAAGAGTATGATTGATTGCAGATGGTTGATTGGCCTTTTTCTTATCGGTCTATCAGATTTCTTCTCAACATCAACTAATTCAGCCACAAAATTTCTGTCTCTCGTTTGATTCTTGAATTAGTTGCTTTTGGAATGGTGATGAACGATTTATACTGACCTATAATTCCAAGGATACGGTGGCAATCATTCATCCCTAGGAAACAGTGACCTCGAACCGTGTGCTGCTGCTGTATTCAACATGCATCAATTCTCCGATGACAATACCTTGGATGGTTGTGACGACAGAAAGGACGAATGATGCGCTGTTGCTGTTGCTGGATACGTTTTCTTCAGATGATCTCTAACATCGTGTCTTTTTTATCTCTATAACTTTTGACTTTTATGCTTAGGCTTTGTTATTTCTTTTTCCTAAGTTCATATCGATCTAGTTTTTTCCTTTTGCTTCAAACACATTTTTAATTAGGGATGATAATTTTATATTAATATAAATTTCAAAATTATTATTCAATTACCTCCGTTCGAAAGTTTGTTTTGCGTTATGAAATCATTTTTTCGAGTCAATTATAGGATTCATGTAACTCTTGTATTGTGAGGAAAACGATGGGATTGTTGTTTTATGGTCAGAGATCACATCACATTAAAGTTGGATATGGATGCATTGAAGATAAAATATAATTTCTATATAATGAAAAAAAAAGATAATTTGAGAGAAAAATCATTCTCATCAATCTAATTTTCTATCAATAAAAATTCATCATTTAACGAGGATAGATGATGATAACCGAAAAGATTTAACGAGGATAGATGATGATAACCGAAAATCTAATTTTCTATCAATAAAAATTCATCATTTTCTATCAATGTAATCAC